GGAGGGCTGGGGCCCGGGGAGGGAGGTTGCACAACTGGACCAGGGATTCTCAATCTTAATTACATGTTAGAATCACCTACGGAGGCTTGGAAAAGAGTCTGCCAGGCTCCACCCCCAGAGATTCAGGGTAATGAATAGGTCTGAGGTGGCCCCTGGCTTTTGGATTTTGGAAAAGGTCCTCAAGGCTTTCCTAGGCACAGCCCCAGGGTTGAGGATTGCTGGTAGAGGTGGAGGGCATTTTGAGATGTCTCTCAAGGCAATTATTTTCTTATTCAACAAGAATTACCAAAAACTGCTAAATGGTAGGAACACAGCAGTGGATAAGGAAACCAGGCGTTCTTATGAGGCTGACAGCTTGGGGGAGGATAATCACAACGCAGAGTGATAAGCCTGTCTGTGGTTGAGGAGTGGGGCTGGATGGAGACTGTCTGGTACTGCCTGCAAGCACCATACTCTCTGGTACTTGTTCACCATACTCTGGTACTTGTTCAACATCTGCTGAGAGAGACAGGGGCGGGAGAGGGTAGCAGTGGGGCAGCGACCTGCCAGGCTTGGTAACCTGCTCTTGCATAATCGGGAACCATGCCACTCTCAGGCCCTAACCCCCAGGCCCAGTCCGCAGAACAGAAGCCCCACAGCCAACCCTCTTGAGAAGGTGATGTAAGCACCAGTTATGTGATGTCAACTCACCTTCCCAAGGGCTTAGTAAAATGAGCCTTCCAGCTGTTCAGGGGACAGTTCCTGAGCACTTTCCCTATCTCATGACATTTTCAGTGATGGACTAGTGTCCCAGAATTGCCCTGCTGGCCTTTTCCCACATATGCCTATTCAGGGAATGGCCACCTCCAGCATTGGAGGAGGTGAGAACAGCCAGAAAGTGTTTCCTGGGAGAAAGGATGGCTGACATGAGGCTGCAGGTATGAACAGCAGATAGCTAGGCAACAGCAGGTGAGGGAAAGTGAGGCAGGACTACAGGTGGAGGGCATGCCCGGGGTAAAGATGAATGCAGGTGTGTGGCATTTCAAGATGCTCAGGGTAGTTTAGCATGAGTGGCCAGAATTCAAGATGGGAAGCAAGAGACTGACCTGAAGAAGATGACAAAAAAGTGCTGGGTAAACCTTAGGAAGGAGTGTGGACTTTATCTCCTGAAGGATTTTAAGAAATAGAAAGATAATTTCTAAAAGTTCACTCAGCAAACAATGTAACAACAGTTAAAACAAATGAACTCCAAAGGACTCAGGTGCTGACTTGAAGAGGTTCCACTGCCCGATGGTGAGACAATTTGAACATCAGTAAGAGTAAGTGCAAAGGACTGAAACATATCGAATATGTTAAAAATCCATGAGTTCAGAATGATACTAAAAACATCGCTGGTCATTTTCAGAGGATGCTGGACACTGAATTCATTATTCAGAAAATGAATAATCAAATAATTGGTAAAGGAAACAGTCAAATAGTTGGTAAATGAAGAAGGGTTGATAGTATCTGTCCCCTAACACTGAGGTAACTAGTATTCTGACTTCTATCACCAGATTAATTAATCACTAAAAGATTAATTTTTTCTGTTTTTGAACATACCAGCGGAATGACAGCATCAAGAAGCATTAGGCTTTTCGTGCTCAGCCTAATGTCTGTGATACTTAAGTAAACCAATCAAAAGTAGTGTGAGGGCCTTGTTTAGACCCTGACTGCAACAAAAATATACTAAAAGCATTTATATAATAATTTATATGGATATTTGTTATTAAGGAATTACTATCTCATTTTTACTAGTTGTGGCAATGGTATTACTGCATGTTAAAAAGAGCTCTCATCTTTTTACAAAATATTTTCATCCATATGAAAGAGGTACATATGGATGAAAATATATCATTTGCCTCAACATAACAGAGGTGAAATAGTGCAGGGCACAGGACAATGAACACATAACTGTTGGAATCAGGTGATGACTAATGGGTGTCCCATAACTCTTCTCTCTACTATTATATATGCTTGAAAATTTCTATAGTAAAAAATTTTATAAAATCAATCAAAAAAAAGCAATAAGGAGAGAACAAGTACATAGTACAATGCTACTCAGTGTACAAATCTGTACTATGTTATAAAATAATAAATACAAGCATGAAGATGAGAAATTTAAAAAGCAGAGTATTGGTGACCTCAGAGCAGAGGGGAAGACTGAGATCTGGAAAGACACACAAGGGATTTCAATTATTGATAGGGTGTGATTTCAGAAAAAAGAGTCAAGGGAAATAGAGGAAAATATCAAGAGTTGGTAAGAGTGTGTGGTGAGTACGTGGGTGCTGTTATGTGTTTCTCTATACTTTCTGGTATGCTTAATATTTAAACAAAATAGAGGAAGAAGGAAGGAGGGGGAGAGAGAGACAGATGGGAGATATCATGCTGGATGTAGACTGCCAAGCAGGCTGGCCAGGACTGACATGGAGTTAAGTTGAGATGCGGTACCTTTGGTGGGCTGGGTGAGGGGCAGGGGGTGATTCCAGAAATACTTAGGAGGCAGAAAAGGCTGGATCTGCTGATTGATGGCTGTAGGACTGAGCAAGAGGGAAGAGTCAGAGGTGAGGCCCCCAGCACGGGTGGGGCTGTGGGTGGGTGGCCGTGCCATTCGCTAGTACAGGACATACTGACAACAGGGTTGGCCTTGGGGTGGCAGAAAGCAGATGGGATAGGTGTGGATAGGATGAGGATGAGTTAGATGTAGGGGCTTGGAGCTTAGGAGACAGATATGGACCAGTTTCCTCAGTTCTAAGGTATGTATTTTTACCAGCTCTGAATCTGAGACTTATTTTACAATTTATCTGCTGTCTTAATATGGTAGTCCTCCCTCATTCCCTGCCCCCCAAACTCCCAATCATTAAATGAACAGTTTATCTTACTGCTACCTTAGAATGGAGGAAGTAACACAGATTTGGGTTTCATGGATAAATAAATAAGGTTTGTGGTTTAATATAGAAATTGTGGGGACTTTTTTTCTCTTTTGAGACAGAGTTTCACTATGTTGCCCTCAGTAGAGTGCCATGGCGTCACAGCTCACAGCAACCTCAAACTTTGGGCTTAAGTGATTCTCTTGCCTCAGCTTCCCAGGTAGCTGGGACTACAGGTGTCCACCACAATGCCTGGCTATTTTTTGTTGCAGTTGTCATTGTTGTTTAACAGGCCTGAGCCGGGTTTGAACCCTCCAGCCTTAGTGTATGTGGCTGGTGCCCTAATCACTGAGCTATGGGTACCGAGCCTGTGGGGACTTTTAAAAGCTATGAATCCTGTGTCTCCCCAAACCCTTCACAAGACACAGAGCAGACCCCTGAGGGGGGTCTTGCTCCACCCTGACGAGGGGCCCTCTCTGCCACTGGTCATATGATGGAGGATAATCACTGACAGGGCTGTATCTGTGGGAGGCCCCGGGAACTGCTCAGGAAGAAAAGTGGAGGGTTTGGGGCAAACACTCCGGGAAGTATAAGGAAGGACCTGGGAAGAGGAACCCCCAGAAGAGTCTAAGAAGGAGGGGCCCAGAATCAGGAAGGGAGGGAGGTACCACAGAGTCCAAGGCAAAGGTAGTTTCAGGGAGGAGTGTTAAGAGTGCCAAATACTGCAAGAGGCAGGAAGGGGCTGTGAAGTTCCCTGAGCTCTGTGCACAGGGACTTCAGGAAGATCAGTGGTCAGGGGCATTGTGCAGTGTTAAAAGCAAGGGCTCTGCCACTTACAAGCTGTTGACCCCTGAGCAAGTGACTTCACCTCTCTGTTCCTCTATTTCCCCTCTATAAAAGGGTAATAAGGCTGCTCTCTTGTGCCCAGCACATACTAAGGGCTCCAGTGCTGCAGCATGTTGGGTGTTTTCCTGGTTCCACTCCCCTCCTGCCCTCCGTTTACCTCCAGTAAACAGAGGGCACTGTGGAGGAGGGAAGGAGGGATAAATGGACTCCACATGTTGATGCCGCCAGAGCTTCCCACAAGTTCTCCAAACCTGGTTCCCCCTAACACACACACACACACACACAGATACACACACTCTCACACCTACCTTTAGAAGCACACAGCCCCGTCCTGCCTCATCCTCCAAGGCTGGCTACATCTCCTCAGAGCAGGATAACCATCCTGCAGAGCCCAGTCAGCTGAACTCCAGCCCACAGCCCCCTGCCTTGGGGAAGAGGACCTGCCTCTGGCCCAGGACCCCTGGTCCTTGACTCACCTCGGAGTTCTCCACCACCTTCTCCAGGTACTTGTTGAAGATGGAGTAGTTCTGTAGCTTGACAGTCAGCTTCTGGTGCTCTAGCCGCAGGGTGGTCATCTCCTGCTTGGCCTTGGCCAGCTCCCGCATGCGCTGCCTCTTGAGCTCTCGCTCCTTGTTGGCTTTCTTCAGGGCTCGGATCCGTTTCTGGTCATTCTCCTGGGGGCAGGGGAAGGGGCACTGGTCAGGCAGCTGTGCCCTGCCCTCCTGGTGCCAGGCCTATCTGCTGAACTCAGACCACTCTAAGGATGACAGAGATTACTGTGCCATCCATGTGGGAGAAGAGGAGTGAAAGAAAAGGATCTCCAGGATTTGAAGGTGGTTGAGGGGCTTTCTGTGGACTGAAGGGGGTGTGGGTGATTGTGAAGACAGAGGCTTAATCTAAAGCAGTGGTTCTCAACCTTCCTAATGATGCAACCCTTTAATACAGTTCCTGTGGGTCGCTACCCAAGGGTTGAGAACCACTGATCTAAAGTCAAGAGGGAACTTTGGGGGTACTGATAGGAAATGATTCTAGTTCTGTAGGATTTGGGGTCTGGGCTTTAGAGAGCAGATTAAGGAGAACCCAGGAGAAAAAGAAAAGGTTAGGGGAGACCCATGTTGCATCAAGTCAGTGTTTGGAGAGAACTCAACCCCAGGGAAGGCTGAGAAAGTCCAGAAGTGGGAGCAGAAACCATTCTGACAAAGCGTCTGTTGTTTCTATTCTTAGCAGAGGCCATTTGTCATGGGGCAGGTCCTTGACCAGAGTTGGGAGGCCCAAATTTTCTCCCAATTTGGAAATTGGTGCCTCAATTCCTCCAACTATAGAAATATGAGGTAGTAGCCCCCCTCTTTCTTTCCAAAGCTGGGGCAACAGTGCTCGATCTCTAGGGAGATGAGATAGGAGATGTTCCTGGTGCAAAGGGATGGGCAGGATAAAGCCATTCAGGAGACCGTGTTCCTAGGAGCTCAGACTGGGATCCGGCTCAGGCTGGAGGAGATGGTGTAGGCAATTTGATGCCCAGAAAGACAGAACAAGGCTCAGCTACTATAGGTCCAAATCCACCTTCTTCCTTCTGCAAAGCTCTCATGCAAGATTAGGGGCAAGCTCACCCTCGCACTGCACGCTGCACAGTGTGGCTCCTTTCTCCCTGCAGGGGTTCCCGTGATCCCATATAGATGGCCATGTGCGGTGGTCGCAGTTGGAGGACATAGAAGATTCCTGCACCATAAGCCCAGGAGAGGACTTAGGAGCCCTACACCTGTGGCTTTCAAATTCTACTTTTGCACCAGAACCACCTGGGGAGCTTTAAAAAATCTACATGTATGGGGCCAACCCCAGACCTGCTGAAAGGAAGGAGGGGAGAAGTTCCTGCTGTCTATATTTGTAACAAGCTATATTTATAACAAACTCTCTGGGATTGTGAAACTGCTGCCCCCTCTGATAATGTGAAGACCCCCTTTCCCCCAAATCACCTGCCACCCCAGCCATTCCACAGCCATTTCTCTGGCTGGTATGGACTGGACCCTTGGAAAATGTGCCCAGTCCATTGACTTCCCTTCCCATATGGCTTAAACACAGAATGGGATAGAAGATGCTTAAGAGCCAGACTCTTCTGTAGCAGAGGACAATAATTGCACCTTTTCCATTGGAGCTAGGCCAGGTCGTTCATGGTTCCATAAGTTCTGGCTGGAGAGGGACTGGATAAATCCAAATTTTAAGATGATTAAACTGTTCCTCTAAGGACCTACTGAGATGGTTGTCTTGCAATGGACTCTGGTGCCTGATCTTTCAACTGTCCCCTGCCTGGACCTTCAGTATAAGGACAGAGGGATAGGGTGGGTCTACATCATTCATTGTTGTGTCCCTATGTGGTTAGCCCTGACAACGGCACATCTATCCATCCATACATCCATCTACGCACCCACCCATCTGCTGGACAAACTGTATGTCCTGGGTACTGTCAAGGAAATAGGAAACTGCCATCAAGAAGGGGAGAGATTGGCAGGTAAACTGGAAATTACGAACAAGGCAGTAGGTGGGGGGCATAATGGATCCATGAGGAAGCACCAGGCATTGTTGGAGCACTGAGGACACTTTTAACCCAGGGTAAAGAGTCAGCAAAAGCAATGAGGACAAGGAGGAGGGGGAGGAACAATTTGCCCAACTGTAGAGCGTGGATCCCCTGGCCTGCTGCAGCAGTCCCCACCCCTTCAAACCTGGATAAACTGTTCAAACTTCTGGATGTGGGCTTTCAGTTGGGCTTCCTTGACACCCAGTTCCTCCCAGCGCAGGTTCAGGGTTTCCATTCTGCGCTGAAATGTCTGTAGGGTGGTGGTGGGGAAGCAGAGTAGTCAGGAGGGCCCCTGACAGGAGGACCAAGAAAGATCCCAGCAGGCTCTATCCAGGCCTAGGAGGGTTATAGGAGGCCTCCCACTTTCCACCCATCCTAGCTCAGAACAGAGCACCTAACACTCCTATTTTTGTTTTGTTCTGCCCAAAGAAAAAAGACCAGATCACCATGCAGGACTCCTGCCTCCACTCACAAATGGAGGACTGTCTTTAGCTCTCCCTGAGCCCTGGTCCAGCCACTCCTTTCCTGCATGCCATCCCCGAGTCCCTCACCTCTTTCTTCTGCTCCATAGCATGATGCATGATCTTGGCCTCTTTTTTCTTCTCCAGTAACCGGATGGATGGACATTCCGACTGCTCCTCAACATTGGGGAGCTTCCTGCTCAAGACATGGACAAGAGAGGACTTCCGGTTCTGAAACCTGGGGCAGCCTGGGGCTGGGAGTAACCCATGGAGATAGAGACCCGTGGGGAAGAAAAGGGGTTGTCTCTCTGACCTCAGTGGAAGGAATGTGTGCTGAGAAGGAGGGAGGACCACCATGGCATTGGGGGAGCAAGCTGGGGCAGGGTGACAAGTCATGGGACCAGGGTAATGGGGTGGCCCAGTGACAGGGGCAGGATTGTTTGGAGTGCTGGCTCACAGGACAGGAGGGCCAGGTGGGACGGTGGGACGGTGGGGTGTGGGGGGTCCCAGGCACAGGGAGGGCGGGGCAGGCCAGGCCCTGGGACACTCACTGCAGCAGTTGTAGCAGCCGCTCTCCATACTGTAGCCGGAAGTACTCGGCCAAGTCTTCCTCCTCCATGATGCCCAGACTCATGGTGGCGGTGACCTACCTGCCCAGGCAGCTGACTCTTCACAGTGAAATACCGAGTGGCAAAGCCACAGGTGGCTCAAGGGCGGGAGACTCTTGCTTCACCGCGCCTTTTGCGTTCAGGGTCCCACAGAGGGTGGGTGTTTGAGAGACTGAGCAGAAGATGGCTAGAGGCTGGGGATCCCCAGCTCAGAGTCGGGGCAGTGATGGGAGATATGGTTACCTAGCAACAGGTTGTCAGCTCCTGTGGACTACCCGTGGAACCCAGGCTTTGCTCTCTGACCCCTGTCCCCGGTGACCCTACTCTTGCGGGCCCCGCCCCTTCCCCAGCTCTGGGCTCAGCAACTCTGGGAAGAGGGCAGGCCTGATTAGAGGCTGGTTGCCAAGGAGGCCAAGGCCTGGGGGCAGCGTCTAGGTGTCCCTGGCTGAGACTGGGCTATTGGCAGAGGAGAGGTATCTTGCAGGCTCCTGGAGTCTCCCTCCCAACTGGGGTGCGGCTCGGACGGATGGCCAAGGAGAAAAGGAGCGTAGCATTGGCTTGGCAAGGGCGGGCGCGGAAAGGTGGTGGAGGCCTGACGTGGGGGCCTCGTGGGAAGGAAGGCACAGGGGCAGGGCCACTCATGGCACACGACTCGGGGTCCCCGCGAGCGCCTGAGGTTCGCAGAAAATTAGAATAGGAAGAAATGCCAAACACAGCAACAGAAATGTCCCTTATTTAAAACGTTCGCTTTGTGATGGCGGCAGGCACAGGCTGAAAGCCACTTGGCCTCGGGGCCGACCTGCGCATTTGAGACGTGGGTGGGAGGCAGACGCTCCGGGGTCCCCTGCGCTCCGGGCAAGGCCCTGGCGGCGCCCTGGAGCTCACAGGCTCCCTCTGCTCTCTCTTCCTCCCTTGGCGCCGGGGGCGGAAGCCGGCGCGAGCTGGGGTGGGTGCGGGTGGGTGGGGGTCCCCGACCCGGGCCGTGCCCTGAGAACAGGGAGCCCACCCCGCTGCATTGCTGGTCGTTGGGCGCCCCCTGCTGGCTGCCCCTCAGCCTGGGACCCGGAGCCGCGGTGGGGAGCGCTGCCCACTCGCGTCCACCTCCCGGCTTCCCCTGAGCCTCTCTTCTCCTGCCAGCAGCGCACGTCTGTCATTTCCAGTCAGCAGAGAGGACTCAGCAGAAGCAAAGGGACAGCTCCCGCCCCACCCAGGACACCACCCCAACACCCAACCCCCTAAACCAGAGATGACTGCCCACTGGAGAAACAGTCCCAGTAGGGCGACAATAAGAACACCAATAACGACTCTAAGCTCCTCCAAGGTTGTTTTTCTCTCCTTGCATATCCTGAGCGCCTGGCACAGTCAACGTCGGGTTTCCCTCCCATTTCCTCGACGTTGGAGAGCTGTGTGACGCCAGCCCCTGAGGAGGAGGCCATCCGTGTCTGGAATCATCTGTGCAATCAGGTGGTCCAGGGCCAGGTTGGTCCCTACAGGTAGCTGTTAAGACATTCTCCTCTCTTACGGGTAAAGCCCTTCTTTTCTGGAAGCTCTTTCTGCAGCCTAACGTGAGAAACGTGAGAAACGTGATCCCTGGTCCACCACCATCCTCTTGGGTCCTACTGCTCACCTAGTGGCTGTGAAACAAGATGCAGGGCTGACTCGGTCTGCGGCTCTCCCCAATCTGGGTGAGCCCTGATTTCTTTAAAAACCGCTCCCAGCACCTACTCCACCCACTCCTTGCCCTTTTCTATCTTGATATTTGCCTTTGAGGCAAAATCTCCTAATGCATTTAGGTCGTTAAAAACCAGTAGGCATAGTTCACAGTTCTGTCCTGGCCTATCCTCCCTCTGAGACAGATATCTGCTTAAAAGGGGGGAAGAATATTAGGAGAAAAAAAATTATAATTAATATCTCAAAAATATTATCCTGGCATATGGACCAGCATAGGGCTAGGTATGCAAGAGAGACAAATTTGTTGACTATCATGAGAGTATTGGATGTGAGGAAATCAGTTTTTGTCTATATCATCTTCCATCTCCTATGTCTTATATTCCATATCAGTGTAATTATGCAGATAAATTTATGTTAAATATGTATCAAAATGGATGTTACTGAAAACTCTTTGTATTGGTCAAACATTTTGATGTTAGTTGCTGTAACAAAGAGCTGCAAGTCTCAAGGACTTAACAAGGTCCAGTGTGGATTTTCCTAGAGGGTCAGCTGTCCTGGGAGATTCACTTTCAAGCAGTGATCAGGGATCTAAGACCCTTTTATCTTGAAGCTCCAGTCCACCATATTTGCTGTAAGTTTGACTGTGGAAGGGGAAAAGAAAGAAAACATAAACAAAACAAAACAAACAATACTTCCACTCTTAATAAAGTCATCATCCCTTCCACTCTTTGACTTCTGTTGGGACCTGGTCATGTGGCTACTTACATTGCAGAGGGCTGGAAATATGGTTTAGCTGGGCTCCCAGGGAGAAGAAACTATTTTGAGGATCAGATCAGTTTCTGCAGTACTCCTTTTGAGATGTAAAAGAATGTTTGAAAGTAAGCTGAAATCAAAACTTCATAAAGAAATGAATTGTAGACAAAGAAAAAAAATCCAGGCCAATCACTATCTTAATAGAAACATCAAATTTAATTTAGGGCAATGTTAAGAGGATATTTATCAGGACCACAAGTACAAAAGGGCTAAATATTGGGACATCTATGAAAGAAATTAATCATGACAGAAGATTCAGCATCATTGCGACAGATTCCAACAAGGCATTCAAAAAGTCAACATCCATCCTGACTTTTTAAAAACTGAACTGTTAGTATACAAAGGCACTTCATCGTATGAGAAAAATATCTGAACCTGACAGATAACATTAACATTTAACCTAAAGATATCCATGTTAAAGTTAGCTTTCTCCTGTCACTACAGTTATTTAACATTTAGATGCTCCAGCTATTACAAAAAGACAAGGAAATTAAGTTTTTCCTTTTTTACATAATGGCAGATGCTGCGATGATGTACTGTGAAAATCCAAGAGAATGATTAATTAATGAAAACCGACGAGAATGTAGTGTAATACTGTGCAATTTGTAAGAGGAATGAAGCTGATTTATGTGCATGGACATGAGGAAATATCTATGGTAAATTATCAAGTGACAAAAGCAAGATGCAGAGCTAGTTAGTGTGATCTTGTTAGTCTAGTTAGTACAGTTAAGTGTAGAAAAAGCTCTAGGATCTTACTGTACCTATGAGGGCGGGAATGGTGTGGAGTGAGGGAGGTTGTTTTCACTTTTTACTCTATATTCCTACATATTTTTTAACATGACCATATATTACTTTTGTATTAAATAATTTTTATTTAAAGATATTAATTTGTATTGGCAGAAACAAACAGAAATTCTTAGAAATAAATTTAACAAGAAATATGCAGTACTTTCAAAAAAAAACTTAGGGCCAGCCATAGTGGCTCACGCCTATAATCCCATCACTCTAGGAGGCAGAGGCGGGTGGATTGATTGAACTCCCAAGTTCAAGACGAGCCTGAGCAGAAGCAAGACCCTGTCTCTAAAAAAGAAAATAGCTGGGCATTGTGCCAGGCACCTGTAGTCCCAGCTACTTGGGAAGTGGAGGCAAGAGAATTGCTTAAGCCCAAGAGTTTGAGGTTGCTGTGAGCTATGACACCATGGTACTCTACTAAGGACAACAAAATGAGACTCTGTCTCAAAAAAAAAAACTTAAAAATTTTAACTGAGGGATATAAAAAAGGAATAGAGACTTACAAAATTTCTGAATGATGACTCATATATTATGAAGATATAAATTCTATCCATTAAATTCACATTTAGGAATTTAATGTGATTGCGTCAAAATCCCAGAGAGATTCCACAGAGCTTCCCCTCCCCAGGAACTGACAAAGTCATGCCATAGTTCGTTTGGAGAAATTAGAGTACTTAAGGAATTATCCAATAAGAAGAATGAGAGGAAATGTCTGGGCCTCAACGCTAAAATGTGTTCTGAACATGAAAATGTTAAAACAACACATTGTCAGTGTCATTCCAGGCATATACAACACAAATATTCTATGGGTTTGGGCAGGTAACTTGGTCTAGAACAGGTCTGAGTCTGTAAATTGCCAAAAATATATACAATTTTGAAAAACACCTCTGGCCAAAAACAAAACACACATCTAGAGGCCTGATTGGGTTCACAGCACACCAGTTTGTAACCCTTGATACCATGAAACAGAATAGAAAACCCAGAAGCAGACCCAAGTTTATATAGGAAAGCATTGGCCAGGAGAGAAATTGTAGATTATTTGACGAATGGGGCCTTTAGGGTCGTGAGAGTGGTGCCCTTATGACAGGGTTGTGCTCTTACAAGAAGACACAGGAGAAGAGAGCTTGTTTCTTTCTGCTCTCTGCCATGTGAGATTACAATGAAAAGACAGCCACCTGCAAACTATGAAGCAGGCCCTCACCAGACCACGGATCTGCCAGCCCCTTGATCTTGGGCTTCTCAGCCTCCAGGACTGGGAGAAATAAACCCAGTCTGTGGTGATTTGTTATCGCAGCCCAGATTGACTAAGACACTCACCAGCACCATAGACACATTCTCCTAGATTATTGCTAGTCTGATGGGTGAAGTTATACATCTCCATATAGCCATGTCTACTGTGTATCTCCTATTCATGTTTGATGCATATTTTTAAAAAGTGAGTTGTTTGGCAATTGATTTGTGTGCTCTGGTTAGTCATCCTACATTTTTGTTAACTCACTTCTAGTCATTGTGACACTTTGAGTGGGTTGGTTGGTTGGACCATCATTGGATACAGCAAGGAACAGGGAAGGCAACCAAGGTAGCAACCAAGGGCAAGCTGACTGATGGCTACTGAGCCAAGCTGAGTCAGCAAATCACTAGAAAGATGAGCTTTGCCTTTTGTTAGTCCTAGGATTCTCTAAAAGCAGACATGGCATTAAGCAGAAGAGGTGGGGAAACCTCTGCTCTGTTTACCCTGTAACCATGTCACTGGGAGATAGAGACAGTGGGACCTGTAGTCCCCAGGAAGGGGTAGAGCTCTCAGGCTCAGCACAGACCATTGTTAACAACCTGTGTGAGTTCATTCTTTGACTTTGCACTAGCACTTCCCCAAATGCCTCCCAGAACTCTTTTGCATGTGGTTTAAAGTGTCAGTGACACGAGGAGGCAAGAAGGCGTCAGTTTGTAATGATACTTGCAGAATTCCATTTGCTTA